TTCAAACTGGTTTATCTTGGACAGAACCTAATGCCTCGTATACCGGTGCTCTGTCTGTATCTACTGAATAAAGGCCAGGACCCCAGGAGCCATTATCCTAAAATCAGTCTTCACCGTGTCCTAAGTGACTTTAGTTTTGACCTCTTAGCATTTTTCTTCTTTTTAAATTCATAGAAACAACATCTGATAGGTCATGAAAATAAGCCCTGGCCTACTGTATGCCCGGAGCCCAAAAGAAATCAAGTCAGCCCGGCCAGTGTGGCTCACTGTTTGAGCATCGACCCATGCACCAAGAGGTCGCTGGTTCAGTTCCTGGTCAGGGCACATGCCCAGGCTGTGGGCCCAGTTCCCATTTGGGGGCATGCAGGAGGCGGCCAATCGATGTTCTTTCTCATTGATGTTTCTATCTCTCTCTCCCTCTCTCAAAAATCAATAAAGAAAAAAAATTTAAAAAAAGAAATCAAGTCAGCCAATGACAATCAAGCTTGTAGGCCTAATGTACATTAATGTTCCTCTCTCCTATTGCCAATTATTTTTCTTTATTGAAATCTGTTGATCCGGAGGAGATTTTGATTGTAAGAGACAGTTGTGTAGATGTAGGCAGAAACAAATACTAATGTTCTCAATCCCATGTACTTGATGCGGCTTAATAATTTTCAAAAAGCCTATTTTCTGACTTTGCTTTGTTTTCCCCTAACAGCCCTGCTGCTCACCCCCTCACCCATGCCCCTGGCACTGGGCATCGCTCCTCTCTCCTTTGCTCCCCAAACCCTCACACAGAAGTGGGAGAAAGTTGACAGTCCAAAGATTCAGAAATCAGAGGGGAGAAGAAATCGTGAAGTCAAGTCATTAACGGGACCTCATTGTAAAATCCTGGAGATGTGGGGCTTTTCCAGAGAATGTGAAGTAGCAATACCACCCGAAAACTGAAAGGCATAGTTAAAATTTAGCAAACCGCAACGGATGATCACAGAGAGCAGCAACCATGGCCAGCTCGCACTGGGCAGCGGGCAGTCCACCCACTTATTCCCCATGATTCAGGAATTCAGGCAGCAGAGCCAAGAACAAAGCAGGACACTGAAAGGAGAAGTCTGGACCCCTAAGACTGGGTCCTTTCTTTCCCGGAACGCAATGTTCAGCCACCCCGTCGTCAGAGAGACATGGGTAAAATGAAGTCAGGAAAATAAAAAAACGTGACAGAGTAATAGTTGAGGGGAAGGAAAGAAAGCTGAATCATGCCACACTGGAAGCGGCTGAAGAGGGGAAAACCATGGGCCAAAACGCTGGGGAGGCCAGATTTCCTCTATGGACATCCACTGAGGGGGAAGGGAGGGAAACCATTTCCCAGCAGCGTGGCAGGTCTTGGCGCCCGCCTCGGTTCCCCTGCCGGACTCCCACAAATAAACATCAGAGCAGAAGGGACAGATTTGCTTCTCAGCAAGATTTCAAAGCTGTGCACCAGAGTCACAGAGAAAACAGGAAGGATCTAGAGGGAGGAGGGGGGAGGGGCATTCTTCCCTCGGGCCAAATCAGATGGGAAACGTCCCAACCCCTCACCCGAAACTGACACATCACTTTTTATGAGGTGTGAAACGTTTCAGGTAGGGTTGGCTGTCACTGTGCTGCGGGCTCAGGTCTGAGCTCTGGGTTTCAGGCTGGGGGCGGCAAGCCCGAAAGACCACAGGTGAAGACAAGCTCTTTCAAGCTCTCAGACGAGGTGAAACCAGGAGGGGATCAACGCTCCTGGAGCAAAGCCCTCCCCGGCAGCTCCTTTCCCAGCCCACCTGAGTCTCCGGGCAGCCCACGTGCGCACGTGCTTGCGCTCCAGTGTGCATGAGGGTCCCTGTGGGGACGGGCGGGGTGCCGGAGGGCCATGCTCCGGCATTTGGATGATTTGAAGATGACAACACTCCTTCTGACTCCAAGGGGCCGAGGAAAACACAGCTGGCCCCAGTTGGTGCTAACCCCTGAAGCCGCTCTCTCTTTCTCTCAGCTCTCTGGGTTTTCAGGGGCTGGAGGTTGCACCCCCCCCCCCAGCCCCCAGCCCACTCCCCAGCTCCTCACACAGCAGGGGCAGGGGCCAGTCACAGTGGTTTACTGGGATTGTCCCTCTTTCTTTGTTAGTAAGCACTGACTTGGCATTTAACAAAAACATTTACACACTGGCGTTCGTGCACGTGAGAAGCGTCCCGAGAAGGAGGCCCTGCAGTCCCTGCCCTGGAGCTGAGCGTGGCTGCGGGCCAAGCAGCTGCAACAACAGCCTCATCCCAGAGCCCCCCACCCCCACCCCGGGCAGCCCCTGCCTCCAGCTGCCCCTCCCAGAGGGTCCCGGTCCGCCTGAGCTGTGCTGTGCCCCATCGGGTTGTTTTTCTAACACTGTTAGGGCGGATACAAGAGCAATAAAAGCAAAAATCCTATCTTAATGCCTATAATTTCTTTTAGGTTTTCTAATTGTATTTTTTTTTTTTAATTTAGCCACTCTGTCCATTTGTCAAATGGAAAAGCACATCTGAAGGGCACCAGACAGGGTGTTCGTCCTCTTTGCTTGGGAACCATGCATCCTGTCTTGGTCCCGTCTCTCCCCACAGGGCGAGTGTCCAGGCCCCTCTCCCTAGTTCCTCCCTAGGCATCCTCTGGGCCACTCAAGGGCTTCGTAAAGAGAATGGCAGAGAGAATGCAGGGCACTTAGGTACTGCAGTATGAGTATTATGCTTCCTCTGCAGAAATGGAGACTGAATCAAACTCCCGTGTTTTAGGTCAGTAATTCTCATCCCTAGCTGGACACATCGGAATGATCTGGGAAGCTCTGAAAAATACTCAAGGCCAACTGAACCAGAATCTCAGGGGGCGGTGGCTGGACACTGGCAGTTTCTAAAAGCTCCTCAGGTGGTTCAATGTGCAGCCCGGCTGGGAACCACTGCTCTAGGGCTGGCATTTCTGAGCTGTGCTGCCGGGACGCGGCCTGTTTGCTTGTCTTGAGGCTGACAGAGCTCAGTGAGGGTGTGAGGGGCACGCCTGGAGCCGTGGCCCCGGCACCTGCACATGCCTGGCACCTCGCGGGCACTGGGTTCGGGTGTGAGTGTGGGGACACGTGGACAGAGGTGGTGAGTAAGCGTGCAGGACTCATCTCAGGTCAGTGAGGGCGGTCGGCCAAAGTTCTCTGGTTTCTGAACTCGAGCACTTGCCAAAACAGTGTGCAAGGGCAGAAACACCTTCTGGTCTGTCTGGTCTGATAAATAAATATTATGCAGCAAGTGACCTGAGTTTGGGTCCAGCCCCTAATGAAGTTTGCCCAGGTTCCCCTTTATCCTGCTACTTCTAGAACTGTCCCCCTGGATTGCTGGTCATGCCCCAGAGGTACATTTACCTAGACCAGCAGCCAGGGTCCTTCAAAAAGAGATGCAAGAACCTGCCCCTTTTCTAGTGACCAGAGGATTGTACCGTCCTTGGCCAAGGAACCTCCAACAGCTCTGCAAACACAGGTACCGGTCTCCTACCTGTGCTAGTGTCCAGTGCCCAGAATAAGGGATCGTTACCTTACTCTTCTGTCTGATTTGGAAAACAAACCAAGGAGTATGTCTGAAACTTGGTTCCTGGGAACTCTGGACAGAGAAGTCTAAACCACGCAGCTTTTTATCCTTCCCACAGCGAGGGGAGCTGAGAGACCTTTTGGGGGGCTCTGGACTCAGTGGTGATAGCCTCTGTAGCTCCCGACCCCTCTTACCACCCTGGAGGCCCCCACCCCCGCAGAGCTGGGCACGTTGTAATGTTCTAAGAGAAAGTCACACTCCGAAAGGGATGAAGTGTGAACTCTGCCAGAAACTGTGTGGTCTTGTTTTATTTTATTGTTTTTAAAAGTCTTCATCTTGCTTTTTAAGAAAATCTGAGTGTGGATTTTCTAGGACTTGAGAGAGCAACCGTAAAAAGGCAAAAAACATTAATTTCTCAACCACGCTCCCAGTGACTGACACTCCTCATAACACAAGTCCAGAAATTAAAAATGTAGTCACACACACACACACACCACCACACCACAATTTAATGCTGGAAACATTATATATGTTTCTTTCTCTGAAAGAGTCTCACTTTGAGCGTTTCTTAGAGCGTGGCCTACAGTGAGCTCCTAAGGTAACGGGCAGATTCTGAGCCGGGCCCAGATCCCCTGAACCAGTCTCTGGAGGTGGGAAGTTGGAACACACATTTTTACCAGCTTCCCCAATCATTTTCATACCCTCTGAAGTGTGAGAACTGCTGCTCTGTACCTCCTTTACATAATCCCTTCTCATTGTATCCATCTGGCAAAAGAGGAGTTACTATCAGGTCCCAAGAAGTGTGTTCGGGTGCAGTCCGGAACACAGGGTTGAGCTAGATCAGGGTTTCCAAATTTTTGAGACGACAACATTCTCTTTCTTTCTTTCTTTCTTTCTTTCTTTCTTTCTTTTCTTTCTTTCTTTCTTTCTTTCTTTCTTTCCTTTTTTTTTCCCTACCCAGAAACAGCAACCTTTGGGGTCAAAAGCAGACTCAGAGCAGGGAACAGGAAGCTCTCATTTACCGAAATGTATTAAATGCTTTGCATATCTTTTCCTAGTCCTTTATAAAGGAGTGTCTCTGCTCTATAGGTGAGGAATGGGGCCAGGAAAAGTCAGCTATCTTGCCCATGACCACCTAGTGGCAGGGCAAGGAGTCCAATCAGGCCCTTTTCTCCTTTCCACGCTGCTAAAGGTGGTGGAGAGGATGTACCCCACTTTTGGGGGTGGTCTCAGACCTGCCTCAACCACACACCTACAGGTGACCACAGGAGCCTGGGCCAGTCTCTAGAAATGCTATCAGTCAACATTCCTTGGCCTTTGGAGCCTGGAACTTCCTTAAGAATTGGTTGTCTTGAACACCAGGCTCATGCCCTCCCTGACTGCCAATTCATGTGTCCCCAGTGGCCCGCTCCCGGGCCCTGCTGCCCCAGGAATTACCTTCCAAGGGGCAAGAAGCTATAACCCTCTTACCACACGGAAGAGTTTGAAGTAGTCCACGTTGGCGTACAGAGTGTCTTCCACCCACTGCAGGGTGCGCGGGGAGAGGGCGCACATGGCCCCACGCACTGTCTGCGCACCGCGGCGCTGACTGAAGATTAGGAAGCGCTCCAGGAGGGCCTCACTGCAGGCGATGTCCTTCAGCAGCAGGTCTGGGGCTCCATGAGCAAACTGCAGGGAGGAGAAGCAACACTGGAAGGCTGCCTGTGGGAGAAAAGCGCCCCCTAGAGATGTCTGCGTCTCCCCCACAGAACCTGTGACCACACTATGTTGCATGGCAAGGGGGATTAAGATGGCAGATGAAAATAAGGTTGCTCATCAGCTGACTTTATTTTAGGATCATCTGGGTGGACCCAATGTCATCACAAAGATCTTTTAAATGTGGAGGAGGAAGGCAGAAGAAACAATGTCTGTAATGCAATGTGAGAAAGACATGGTGGGTCCCTGCTGGCCTTGGAGATAAAAGGAGGCCACCAGCCAAGGGATGTGGACAGGGACAGTCTCTGCAAACAGGAAAATGGATTTCCTTCTAGACTACTCCCTCCACCCCCGAAAGGAGTGCAGCCCTGCCAACACCTTGACTTCTGACCTCTAGAACCATGAGATAATAACTTTGTATTGTTTCAAGCCATTAAGTTTACGATGATTTGTTAGAGCAGCAACAGGAAACTAATACGCTCCCAAGCCTCACTTTATCCGCGAGCCATTTAAATATGAGAGACCCCTTCTCAGTCCGCCAGTGCTTAGGTGGCATCCAGACCTGCTCCCTGAAGTGCAGGTGGGGGAGTGGCTAGAATGCATTTGGAGTGATGGCGAATGACCAACCCCTCTCTTTTCTCACCAGATTTAGCAAATAAAAACACTGGATGCCCAATTACATTTGAACATCAGATAAACAATGAACAGCTTTTAGTACAATATGTCCCAAACAGAGTCCAAACAGGAAGAACTTATGCTAAAAAATACTTTTGTTGTTTATCTGAAATCCAAAGTAAACAGACATCTATATTTTATCTGACGACCCTAACCCCGCAGTGGGGCACGTCCTCCAGCTCCTGTGGAGGGCACGGACTGTGACAATCGAAGCACAGTCCCCAAGGTTGCTGCTTCCAGAGGCTAAGGTCCTTGCTCAGCCAGCGGAAACTGGCCTGCAGGAGCCCTGGCCCCCAGCAGAGGTAGCACCCTGGGGACCGTGAATAGGTTCGTGAGCTTCCCTGAGCCCTGCAGTCTCCCCTGGCTTCCAGGTAGCTGCACAGTCCTCTGGGCTGGAGCGCAGAGCAGGCCCAGGCACTGCTGCCCCCTGCATGGAGGCCGTCCGGACCACAGATGGAACCCTGATCCCTAACGAGGCACTGGTCGCAGATGATGCTGGGTTGTTGGACGCCGTCATCTCAGGGGACTGTCACTGGGTATGGATTCCAGCAGAGCCTTCCTGTTTGGCCTACACTTTACTGCTTAGCCCCAGGCAAATTCCCACCCCTAACCCTAATCTCAGAGGCTACAACATTTTGAAGTGGAGGGAACCAATGAGCTCCTTTTGTCCAAGCCTCTAATATCCCAGGGGGAAAAAGCATTCGAGAGGGGTTAGGGGACTTGAGGAGGCTACACAGCAGGCTGGTGGGAAAGCTGGGGCCCCTCTGAAGGTCCCCCTCGTTCTTGCACTCAGTCACTCACTTACCGGTGCTCATTCACCGAATTACCGTTCTAGACTAAAACTGGGGATGCAGAGAAAACAAGGTGAGTTTTTTGCTTTTCCGGGAGCTCACTGGCTACCTGAAAATGCAAATGCTGGCTTGAATGTAGTAAAGCCAGAGCACAGAAGCAGGAGTGTTAAGAATAGCTGGTAAAAATAACCAGTATTTACTGAGTGTTTACTGTGTGCCGAGCCCTCTTCTAAGTGTTTACACATATTCATTCTTTCAATACCCACAACCACCAAGTATGGTAGGAACTTTTATTATCTGCACTTCCCAAACGAGGAAACAGAGGCATTAACCTGTTGGAGATCACACAGGTAACCGTGGTGGCCTGCTGAGATTTAACCTACAGCTTGTGAGTAACCATTACCCATTAGTTCTTTTTTTATTTTTATTTTTTTATTTCAATGTTTTTTTTCTTCATCAATTTTAAAGAGAGAGAGGAAGGGAGAGGGAGAGAGAGATAGAAACATTGATGAGAGAGAACATCGATTGGCCGCCTCCTGCATGCCCCCCACTGGGGATCGGGCCCTCAACCTGGGCACGTGCCCTGACCGGGAATAGAAACGGCGACCTCTTGGTGCACGGGTTGATGCTCAACCACTGAGCCACACCGGCTGGGCCCTGTTAGTTCTTTATCCAGTAAAAAAGAGGGAGGGGGCAGGACAAAGAGAGGAGGGTTTATGAATAGTTTCACTGAAGAGGCAACATTTGAGCTGGGCCTTAAAGCAAGTCTAGGAGTGTACAGGGCTGGTGATGGGGGGAGGGCCAGACCAGAGACCTGTACCCCTCTCCTCGTCTCGTTACTCCCTAGGTGAAGAGAGGGGTGATGTTATTCTCTTCTCAGCGGTGCCCAGACACCAGGCAGAAAGGACCAGGAGGGGTAGGTCGTCCTGATGGTAAAGAACAAAATTCTGTGTTTGATGAGGATGATCAATGAGCAGTAAACCACATGTGGCTCTTTAAATGTAAAATAATTAAAATTAAATAACATTTAAAGTTTAGTTCCTGGGCCGCACTAGCTCTGTGTCAAGTGCCTGTCTGCCACCTGTGGCTGGTGGCGACCCTGCCGACAGCACAGAGACACTGCCATCATGGAGGAAGGTTCGCTGAGCTGGACAGAGCCTGGGACTGGGACAGAGGTGAGGAGGCCACCAGGGTGGGCCCGGGGCGCGAGGGAGCCGGGTCACCGTGAGTGGCCTCTGCAGCCAGGGAGCTCTGGGCTGTCTCTTAAGCTCTGGCGTTTGCTGGTCCGAGAAGCATCAGCTCATCAGAGCCAGAAACACTAAATGAAGTCACAGCCTGGTGACCGGGGGCCCGTCTCTTCCCCACATGAGGCCTCAGCCCTGATGCCAGCAGCATAGCAACTAGAGATCCAAACGGCACATCAGTGAGGAGCTGGAAAGAAATTTCCCCTAAAATCCTGCCCTTATCTCCACCTCCCTTTTATTACCAACTGGAAGTCATCACAGGCATTTCCAGGACTCGAGTTTTACGAGCTGAACAGAAAGCAGAGGGGAAAATGACCAGTCGTGCTGCTACCACCACTCCCTCGGCCAGGGGAGGGACAGTGGAGCAGGGCAGCCAGACCTGACTCCCAGGGCCTCGCCAGGAGCCATCAGGCCCCACTTACATTAAAGCAGTGGAGTCACCCCTGAGCCTGTCCACATCACCGGAAGGGCTGGTTAAAACACAGATTGCTGGTTGGCCTGGGGTTTGGGGGGCCAGAGAATTTGCATTGCTAACAAGCTCCCAGTCCTGTGGATGCTACTGGACTAGACTCTGAGCAGCACTGAACTGGAGCGAGGAAGCCTGGGTTCGGAAAGAGAAAGCCTGGTCTCCGCTGCAGTCCCAGCTCCATAGCCTCGTGCAAACCACTCAGTTGCCAGCCGCCCATTTCCGCACCGTCTGAGCCATCTCAGGGTGAAGAGCACGCAGTGGACAGATGGGGAGGCCACGTGTTAGTGGTGAAGATGCTGCGAATCAGTGTGAGAGCGTGGACGTGGGGGACATAGATGTCGGGGACAGGATTAGGTCAGATTACACAAGGAGGAGAGAGGGAGAAGCTTGCCTGGCATGGAGAAGACATGGTGCAGGGAGTCGAGGTCTGCTCTGCCTGCTGCCCTCACTAGGCGCGGGGACCTGGGAGTTACCTCCGCACCACCTGTCTCTGCACTGCCGGCCTCCGGGCCTGGAACTCTCCTTACGGTCTTTCTGTGGCCGCCTTCTCTTCAGCCAGGTTTGCTCAAATACCACCTGCACCGGAAGGCCTGCCCGGGCCGCCTCATTTAAAACTGCCCCCAGCCCACTCCCCAAGTCCTTCTCCCTCTGCTGGCCCTGCCTGATGTCCCTCATAGCGTCTGTCCCAACCTGTGGCTTCACCACGGCCCCCACAGTCAGCACCTGGGGCTGGGAAGGCCTTCCAGAGGAGGGGGAATTTGAGCACACCCACATCGTTCATATTCCTTCTAGTTCCGAAATGTCCCTGAATATTTAATGAATGCAGGAATAAACCTCAGTTTCCTCAACTGGAAGCGGAAGCTGAGTCACGTGATCTCAGTTTCCTTCGAGTCATGAACTCTGAGACGTTCTGTCTCGGAATCCCGTGCGGGGAGCAGCATCCGCTCAGGGAACCCCCAGATACTTTTCTGAATGTGTGGCGTGGATTGTGGATTCTGAATGTGAAAAGCAAGAAGGGAAAAAAAGCCAAGGTGTTTTTGCTTTTCTCAGGCTCGTGCCCGCCCCCCTCTCCCAGGGCCCGCAGGCTGAGGACCTACCTGCTCCGGTCGGACCTGGGAGTTGACCAGAAGGTGGATGACTGAGTCAGACAGGCCAATGTTTTTCGTGAGAAATAGTGTCAGTGTTTCTTCATCTCTCAGGACGTCCCGAATTCGTATTCCTCTTCCTGTACACGAGTGAGAGAAAGACCAGGGTGCTCAAGGGGTGGGTCAAAAAAAGAAAAACAGCCCTGGCCTGTTTGGCTCAGTGGTTAGAGCTTCGGCCTGCGGTCCTGAGAGACTTGGGTTCGGTTCCTGCTAAGGGCATGTACTTCGGTTGCAGTTTGTCCCTGGCCCTGGTCGGTTGTGCGGGTGGCAGCCACTAGATGTGTTCCTTTTGCATCGATGTTTCTCTCTCTCTCTCTGTTCCTCTCTCTCCCTCCCACTCTACCTGAACAAAAAATGGAAAAATGTCCTCCAGTGAGGATTTAAAAAAAAAAAGAAAAACACTTCGAATTCACTGGAAATATTCCTGTGTTCTTGGGTTCCCTGGGAGCACCTGGAGGTCGGGGCTCCTGCCAGTCGGCTGTCACCCAACACAGTCACAGAATTTACTGCCAAAGCAGCCGGGCAAAATTTAGTAAGAAAGCACGGAAGATAGAAAAAGTTAGCTCAGGGTTCGGTGTGGGGTCATTAGATGCTCTGCAGGGTTGGTCTAGGACAGCGGTTCTCAATGGGATAGGAGCCAGGTGCTGGTGCAGGGGAATTTTGTCCCCCTGGGAATGTGGGGCATGGTCTAGAGACATATTTGGTTGTCATAACCAGGGAAGTGCTTGTGGGTAGAGAACAGGGACGCTGCTAAACATCCTACAATGCACTGGACGAACCCCCTTCCCCACAAAACAAATAACTATCTGGTCCCAAATGCCAGTAGTGCTGAGGTTGAGAATTGCTGATCTAGGATCGGAAGAGAGGCATGCTCTGTCCACACTGCGGTTGTCGTGGGGTAGAGATCCTTCTGGGTGTTTCTGTAATCTCACTGACGGCTCTAAACCCAAGGTACTGATAGACTAAGAAGAGAGATGGTGCTGTTTTGATCAAGAAAATCTTCGAGTGGAAAAGAGAGGATGGTCTACTGCTTGGGCTTGCAATTTTACGCCCTGATCATCCCGGTCACATTCTTTCTAGCGCCACTCAAAACCTGCTGGAAGCAGACGTCGCCTTCTGGAGAGGCACGAAGGACTGCTCACGGCAGGTAACCTGGGGGCAGGACCCGGCCTCTCTGCCTTCCTCAGCTGCCTCTCAGGACTGTGTGTGTGTGTGTGTGGGGGGGGGGTGACGAGAGACAAGGAATGTGCCGTCCTAGCTCTCAGGCCTGAAGACAGTGAGCCCTCAACCAGTGCTTATCCGGGCAGCATTCACATTTTTCTTACCTCCCCCAGGGGAGTCCCACCGAGGGTGCCACCTCCTCTGCCTGCTTCCAGGGCCGACACTCAGCCTCAAGCTGGCCCCTGTTCCAGTTCAGTGGGCCCTGGCCCGAGGAGAAGGTTCCAGGCCCCGAGAGCTAAGAAGTCGGTTCACCATTAAGGGAAAGCATTCGGGTTGCATGACAATGCCTCTCTGTCCCAGCTTCTCTGGGGGCCTGGTTGACGGCTTATCTCTTCATTCTTCTTGAACTAGATTTAATCATCAAATGCTCCTTCCAGAGCCCACCTCCTCCCTCCTTAAATTCTTCCCTCACCAAGAGCCCCAGGGGTCTGAGTACGTGACAGCCATCCCTTCCCTTTCCAGGCTGTGGTCAGTGCCTTGTCCTGACGACCCAGCTGCGCATTTCTCCTTGAAAGGGGATAGGTTGACACAGGCTGGCCCTGCAGCCAGGTCGCAGCCCCTGTCCTGAGGTTCTGTGCCCAGTCACCCTCCCTTCAGAGAGGTGCCCCGGCTAGCCCAGGGTCACTGCTCTTTGCATAAGAAAAGCCCCACAGCTTTGGGGAACAGGACGCAGGAGGGAGCCTGCGGGAGGGGGAGAGTTCTGACTGGGGCGGTTCTGTTTGATTCTTCCTTCCCTCCTGTTTGATAAGTCCAGTCATCCTCCAAACTCAGTTCCTGCCCCCTCGCTGCTTCCTTCCCCTGGGGCAACAGCTCAGTTGTTCTCCTCCCAATCACTTCTTCACGTACAGTGTTATATCACACACACACACCCCTCCTGAAAATAGGGGGCTATGGATTCCACACGAACACCCCTCATCATACCCAGCAATGCTGGGCACACAGACGTAAGCCCTTGAAGTCGCCTCTCCTGGACATCCTCATTGAGCCTGACAGGGAATCAGAGCCTCCATAAATGGAATGGCGTGAGCCCCCAGTAAATACCTGTCGTCTTGACCTGAGAGTCACGGCCCCATTTGACTGTGTACCTCTGTCATTCTTTAACTGACTCGCCTGACCGTACATACAAATACTTGGCCAGGGAGAGGGGGACGGGGAGGGATCTCCCCGGTGTCTCTCAGTGTCCCAGCCGGTGACTGGGTGCGTGGCCCTGGAGAGAAGGGGCAGCAGCCCTTTGGGTTCCACATGCCTGCGGAGGGGTGGGGGCCACCCTGGGGGGAAAGTGTGGGGCCCGAAATGGAAGAGGTGGCTGATACCAGACAGAGGTTTCGCTAGACTCTCAAGGGAGAAATGTGAGCTGGGGGCCTGAGGAAAGAAAAATAAATTTAGTTTAAAATGTGGTTCTTCTTGTTCTGGTCCCTGGGAATATTAGCGGTTGGGGGAGGGCGGCTGAGGCCCACGGAGCAGGGGAGCGAGGCGAGGCGAGGGGGGGGGGACCAGGCGAATGTGTGAGGCTCACGGAAGAAGGTGTTTAAAGATGACTGGGAGGCCGCAGAGCGTCCTTGGGGGCCAGCGGGAGGGGGTGCACGTCCGTCTCTAACCGCGAATCGCCCTGCCGGGAATGCTGTACTACAGGTTTGCTGGGAGGATGCCGAGGGCCACTCTCAGCTCCTTTCCCAGACCACTGGGAACTGAAGCACACACTCCGACAGCCGTCATCTCCCTTTCAAAAACTTCACCCTGCACCCCGCTTTGGGCTGAGGATTCCGTGTTCCTGGGGAGCAGTGACCCGGGTGACTCTGGGACAGATCTGAACTCGTCTGCAGCGCTGCCGGTGCACCTCAGTCCCCAGCGCGGAATTCCTTCAGGCCCAGACTTTGGTGGGGTGGTCCTCGGTCCCCGCTCGTGGACACTAAGGTCAGGGGTTCTCTGTTCCCAGCCCCCCCAGTTCTTTTGGGAGCCTTGGCTGGCCTTCCCTGACCTGGTCTCCCTGCACTTCCGAAGCTGCTCTCATTTAGGGATTGCCCCCCAAGCCCGAGCCTGCAGGAGGAACCCCTGTGTGCCCGTGTAAACCTCGTCCTGCTCTGGGGTCGGGAAGCAGTGATGTGGGTTCTCACACACACTGTAAAGGCCACAGAGAGACTGAGGTTTGAAATGACTTCCTTTATACTTCCTCCCGGCCACCTCCATTCGAGGATCGGACACCAGAATGAAGTGTCCGCTGACGGACAAGGCAGGCAGGCACTCCGGGGGTGCACAGCCATGTTCTCTTCTGCTGTTTCACCTTAGAAACCAGTGCTTTTCTCTTGCTATTAAAATGCTGACTGTGCTCCTAGGACTAAACGCTCAGCCCTTCATGCTCCAGCGAAGTGATTCTTCTGTCCCAAGCAGCAAAAGACAGAGTGTTGTGATCTGCTTTTACTGCATCAGTATGCGCCTCCTATCTCTGAAACTACTAGAAGGCAATGAAGTAGCCTTCAAGTCCCATCTGAGCAGACGCCTGTCCTTGAGTGCTCCGTGGGGCGTGAAGGGAGAAGGTGGCCCGCGGGAGGAAGAGCAGACTGTCTTTAGAGAACCCACCCACCCCCTACACCAGGTAGTCATGTCCGCTCAGCCCTGGCGCGTCGCTGACCCCAGGGACTAGCACAGCACCTGGCTCAGTAAGCGCTCGACCATCTGCTATGCTCACTGGGGCCCCCTCCCTGGGTGATCTGTACCCTTCTTCTACCTCTTTTGTTTGGAACCCTAGTAGGGCTGTTCACCCAGCCCCCCAGGCCCCCTGGTGGACCCTTTCCTCACCCCCGTCATCCTCTAAGTTCATCCTGAGAGTCATCGCCCCCGGCCCCTCCTAGGAGCACACATTCCCCTGATCCAAACAGCTTCCTTCACAGGCTGAGCCCACCCCCTGAACAATCTTCCCACACCAGCTTCTTCCCCGCCCTGGGCTGCGGGGATCCCGGGGTCCTTCCGGCCTTGCTCCCTCCCAGCCACTCATTTGCCCCCCCTGGGGATGGTTTCCGCTGGTGCCCGGGCTGTCGCCATCCCGGCCCCCTGGCCATCTGCAGTGCAGCCTCCTGTGGACACAACTACACCACAGCCACTGTGCTTTAAGAACAAGAGCTGTCAGCCCGGCCGGTGTGGCTCAGCGGTCAGAGCATCGGCCCCAGAGCGAAGGGTCTCAGGTTCAATTCCTAGTCAAGGGCATGTACCTGGGCTGTAGGTTGGATCCCAGCCCCGGTCAGGGTTGTGCAGGAGGCAACCAATCTGTGTGGCTCTCTCACATTGACATTCCCCCCCCCCCCCCACTTCCACTTTATCTAAAAATCAATGAAAAAATATTCTGGGGTGAGGATTAACAAAAAAAAAAAAAGAGGAAGAAGAGTCGGCGTGATGACCAGGGTTGGGTGTGTGGGTTTGTTCGTTCTGGCTCTGCCCTGGGAGGAGAGACACAGGAGAGGGGCTCCTCCACCCGGTCTCCTCACCGCGCCTGACTCCGTCTCCTACCCATGCAGCCCCGGGCGCACACGGCCCACTCAGCGCGGCCTCTCATTTCCTCCAACTCCTCAGCGAAACCCACCCCTCTCTCCACCTCAACCACATGGCCACACCGGGGCTTGTTCTCACCTGTGCTGCCTGCCTTTGAAATCCCGAATTCACGAGCTTCATCTTCTGACCACAACCCTCAACCCTGCTCGTTCTTTCGGCCCTTAAACGTGAAACCACTGCAGGCCTCGCGTTCTTTGCCTCTCTTCCTCCTGGCCCATGTCAGCACTTCTGGCTCATTGTCCAACCTTATGCACCCTGGACCCGACGTGTGCAGTTCGATCCCACCTTCAACCCCCTGCCCCTGGACTTTCTGTGGCCCCTTCAAGCCCCTGGCTCTGTGTCCCCCGACTCTGTGCCTTCTCCGCCTCAGGGCCTGGGGTGATGAATGCCACTGGGAGAAACCAAACGTTTGTACCTATTTATGTCAAGATAAACATGTGCTCTCTGACCTCCCGGAGTCCTTGATGCTCCTTGGCATTGTCCACACGTGTTTCTGGTTAGCACGCTCTCGGACTCGAGGGAAGCTGCCCCATACCTTTACCTTACTCCGTAAACCCGCTTCCCCCACCTCCGGCACTTACCCTGGCCTGGTCCTCCCCCGAGCACCAGCTCTCCTGGCTCCTTTCTGTCTCTGGACTTCCCTGGGGCAACGCCTTGCTGGCCCTCCTTCCCAATTTCCTACCTCTAGGCTGGCGGGAAGAGGAGTCCTCACCACGGTGAGCCTCACGCCACCTCCAGGTCCCCTTCCTTTCTGTCTCTAGCATCTTTTCTCACCAGATCTCCCCACTCTCTCCTGCATCTTTGGTCTCTCTGACGTATGAGGCAGGTGACGGCTGAGAGCACTGAAAGCCACCTGACCTGCGACTCTCTCCGGGTGAGTTCGGAGGGTGTCCATGAGTTGGGATAAGGTGCGGAGTTCTGTCCAAACCTGGCCGAGGCGCTGGCTCCCTGGTGCATCCAAGAGGAGTTCTTGGAAATCACGATACACCCTTGCCAAGCTGGGGGAAAGACAACGCCTCATCAGTAGAGACATAGATATCATTTTCATAGTAATAACAATGCCACCTTGTGTGATCTTTAAAGATACCGTCTGCTGGACATAGCTACTACATTATGTATCTTTGCAATAGTGCCAAGGCAAAAAGAGAGTAACATTTTCATTTCCCTGTACATATAAGACAGCAGACAGGGGCAGTGAGCGATTTGCTCAGTCTTCCAACTTTGACAGGGCCAGGTCGCCTCTCAGCCCCGTGCTCCAGGTGTCTTCTGTCCAGAGAGGACTCACTGGAGGTTCTTCCCGGCGATCACCCACTTCACTGAGACCTGCCCTTCCCGCAGTCTACAGGGGAAGTCGTGACAGCCATCCTCAGTCCACTAGTTCCGCCCTGCACGTGAGCACACACACATCTGCCAAAGCTGGTTGGACACGCAGAGCGAAGCCAGGACAGCCGGACTTGTTCCTGGGACTTTAAATGATTTTCGAGCGTGTTCTCTGACTGCCCGGGCCAAGGTGCTGTGAACGGAACAACCAGCCCAGCAGGAGACACTGGTCCATGAGGAGGCCAACGAAGCGGGCGCTCAGAGAGGCAGGGTGGGCCTTGCAGGCCCAGACGGCGGAGGGCAGCCCCTGAAGGCTCTCCAGTTCCTGTCCCACCCCTCCTGACGCCTGTGCGCAGCACCTTGGCTTGGTGAGGTCTCGTGTCCAAGTCATATATTCCCTCTGGGGCTTAAACTTGTGTGAAGGGGTTTCTGGGCCTTGCATGCAAAAGAACCGTGAATAAGCCAATATTTCCCCTATAATGTACGTGTGAAATGTGAAACCCAGATTTCCTGGTTCAAATGCTGAGTGAAAATTAGAGTCTGAAGTCCCCCTTCCCTGACCCTTACCCGTCACTCTACAGACACTGCCAGTAGTGGTCCCACCAGAGCTCCCCTCACGGAGGTGTCCAGGGCTCCCGGACCCCTCCGCCGGCTTACAGGATCTCTCTGGACCAGTAGGCGTTTCTTCTCAGGCACCTCAAAGAGACTCAAGCTCACAGCGTAGATTATAAATTAAAGCCTCCAGGCAGTGTTTGCAGCCATGCAAACCCAGCTAAATGTCACCTCCTGACTGTCTAGGAAGACAGGTGTCCCTCTTCTACCTGTCTATGATCCAGGAGTCAGCAAGCAGTTATAGATTGTAGGCTCGTGGGCCGTAATTCTGTCACTTACTCAACTCTGCCATTGCAGAGCAAAGCAGCCAGTTTGTTCCCAGTGGGGAAGGCTACCTCTAAGCATTAGGCTGACTTACTAAATGTTCTTTTGTTTTCAGACGAAATGTAGTTTTGTCCTGGAGGAATTACATCCAGAGGAAAAACTTCAGTAACCAAGTACCTCAGTTTCCATCTGACTTGGTGTTTGTGCCGGTGGGTGAAGCCCACTCTATAACAAGCCCTTGCTGGTGACTCTCGGCTACAGGCTTCACAAGCTGCAGCTCAAGGTCAGCCCACTGGGCGAAGGACAATCCTGTCCTCACCCTGAGCCTCCGTCTGTAGGACATGCTCACATCACATCCTCCTACCTCTGAAAGGGAACTCCCAAGGTAGACTGTCATCCTATGGGATTGGACTTGAAATTCAACCCCAGACCAGAAGTCATTAACCTGGAATCCGCAAGTCCCCTGACCTCAATGTAGTTTGTGTGTGTGTGCTCATTTTTCTTGGAAGTGGGCAGGCCACCAGTTCTCATCAGTTTCTTGGAATGGTCTTCAGCCCCACAGGTTAAGAGCTATTGCCCTCCAGCCACATCCTCAGGTTTTGCCGCCAAGGGAACTAACTGATGGCGTCCACATAGGAGGATATGGAATTTGTTCTTTTCTTCCGGGAAGCAAATTTCCTTTTTTTAAATCCTCACCGAAGGATATTTTTCCCCCCGTTTATCTTCAGATAGAGTGGGAAGGAGGGAGAGAGAGAGAGAGAGAGAGAGAGAGAGAGAGAGAGAGAGAGACATTGATGTGAGAGAGAGACATCAACTGGTTGCCTCACATGACCCCCACCGGGGCCAAGGACTGAACCTCACTGAGGTACGTGGCCTTGACTGGAATCGAACCTGTGACTCTTTGGACCAAGGGCTGACACTATAACCACTGAGCCAAACCGGCCAGGGCCTTCCAGGAAGCAAATTTCATCGTGTAAACCTTATTTAATTC